TATAATCAAGAATGTGATTTACCTTTGTTAATATATTCATTCATCTGTCCTTGAAAAGAATGTATATTCCACTGTTTTATTTGGGGAGGAGGGTGCAGAAGAATATTTTATAAATGTCAATTAAGTTATTTAGGGTTAAGTCTATTATACCTTTGCTCCTTTTCCATTTCCTGTTTTATCAATTATTAAAAGGATGCTAAAACCTCTGATTGTAACTGTGGATCTATTTATCCTTCCAGGTCTATCAGATTTTGCCTCAAATATTTTGTAAATCTGTTACTAACCTAAAGTTGAGGATTGTTAAATCCTCTCGATGAACTGATCTCTATCAATATGAAAAAAAATCTTCATCACTAGTATTCCTGGTTCTGAAAGCTACTTCATCGGGCTGTCAGATTTTCCCATTCTTTTTATCTATTTGTCTTTGAATCTAACATGTTTCCTTCATAGGCAGCATGATTGGATCTTATTTTTATTTATCTTATCCAGAAATATCTGCCTTTAAATGGGGTGTCTTAGACCATTTATATTTTCTGTGATCATCAATGTTTATAAAACCTTTAATCAGTGTACTTTTCAGTAATAGTACATACATGGGTCTTCCAATAGTATATACTTTACTTCTTTTTCATAGCCTTTTTAGGCTATGATTGTCATATATTTTAAACATATGTTATAAACCCCACAATACATTTGATGTTATTTTTGTAAAAAGTGAGTATCCTTTCTACAGATTTACATAAAGAAAAATATCTTGTCTATATATCCAAGTAGTCAACATTTCCTGTCCTTCAGCCCCCTAGGTAGATCCAGATTTCCATCAGACATCAGAACACCTCTTGTGGTGCAGGTCTGCTGGAGAGGAAATCTTTCAGCTTTGTTTATCTGGAACGTCCTTATTTCTTCACTGTTTCTTATAGCTATTTTTACGGAGTATACAACTCTACATTGAATTTTTTTGCTTTTAAAACTAAAAATAATGTTCTACTATTTTCTCTGTTGCCTCATTTAAGGAGAAATCTGCTATCATCATTACCTTTGTTCCTCCATAAAACATGTCCTTTATCTCTGGCTGCTTTGAGGATTTCATTTTAACACTGATTTAGAGCATTCTGGTTATGATTCATGAGGCTTGGTGTAGTTTTCTTCATGCCTCTTGTGCTCAGGGTTTGATGATCAGTAGGTTCCCATCACATTTGGAAATTTTTTCATCATTCTCAAAATAATGTTTTCTGTTCTTTTCCCACTTTCCTTTTACAGACTCCAATTCCATGTGTGTTAGAGACTACTTGAAGTTCCCCTAAAGCTCACAGGGGCTTGTTTTGTTTTTTTTTCTTTTTTTGAGACACAGTCTCACTCTGTCCCCAGGCTGGAGGGCAGTGGTGCCATCTCGGCTCACTGTAACCTCTGCCTCCCATGTTCAAGTGATTCTCCCGCCTCAGCCTCCCGAGTAGCTGGGACTACAGGCGCCTGCCACCATGCCCGGCTAATTTTGTTATTTTTAGTAGAGACAGGGTTTCACCATGTTGGCCAAGATAGTCTCGATCTCTTGACCTCATGATCCACCTGCCTTGGCCTCCCAAAGTGCTGGGATTACAGACATGAGTCTCCGCACCTGGCCCAAGGTCTTGCTTATTTTTCAAATATGCTTTTTCTCTGTTTTATTTGGATGGCTTCTATTACTGTGTGTTTAAGTTCACTCATCTTTTTCTTCTGCAATGTTTAAACTGCCATCAGTTCTTGTCCTATGTGTTCTTTTTTCGGGGCAGGAGAGGAGACAGGGTCTCACTCCGTCACCCAGGGGCAGTGCAGAGGCGCAATCTCGGCTCACTAAAACATCCACCTCCCAGGCTCAAGTGATCCTCCCACCTCAGCCTCCCAAGTAGCTAGGACCAAAGGCATGCACCAACACACCCAGCTAATTTTTTTGTTGTTGCATTTTTGCTACAGATGAGGTTTCACCATGTTGCCCAGACTGGTCTCAAACTCCTGAGCTCAGGAGATCCACCTGCCTTGGCCTCCCAAAGTGCAGGGATTACAGATGTGAGACGCCAATGGCTGGCCATGTATTTTTCATCTCAAGCATTACAGTTTTCATTTCTAGAAATCTGATTTCTATCTTTTCTATTATACTGAATTTTGGTGTGGGTTTTTTTTTTTTTTAATCTTTCGTGTCTCTACTTAAGTTTTAGAACATATAGAACCCAGTTTTAATACTGTTTTCACAGAACTTGTCAGTTAATTCTACTATCTATGGCAATTCTGAGTCCATTTCAATTTCCTGGTTAGTCTCTTTGAGAAAGCTCATGTTTTCCCATATGTCTGTAAGTCTGGTAATATTTCAATGGATGGGAGACTGAGAGTTTTACTTGGTTGGATGCTGGGTACTTTTGACTTCCTGTAAGTATTTTTGTGCTTTGTTCTAGGATACACTAAGTCCCCTGGAAACAATGTGATACTTTCAGGTCTTGCTTTTATTATTTGTTAGGCAAATCTGGAGGAATGCTCAGTTTGGGGAACATTACTCCTCACCACCGAGAAAAGACCTTTCTAAACACTCTACCCAGTACTCTGAATTATGAATTTTTCCACTCTGGCTGGCAGGATCAGTCCTTTTCCAGGCCCTATGCGAGTACTGTGTACTGTTTCCTCTGCTTCTTTTCAAAACTCATTTCACTCATTTCCTCATATACATGAGCTGATTAACACTTTGCTGAACATTCATGGAGGCCCCTTTGCAGATCTCCAGACCTCTCTGTGTGTGCATCTATCTTCTGCAAGCCACCAGCACTCCTCAACCCCCACAGCTTCAAGTTCTAGGAAAGAATTGCCAAAAGGCCTTAAGCCAGCTTCCTCTACCACCCCAATGAAAATATCCAGCCCAGTCATGGCAGTCTGAGAATAGTGGAGTACAATGCCCACCTAGCTCATTGAGAAGAGATTCCAAAATAAACCAAGAAGACCAGAGACTACTGCCCCAACCCAGATCTTTGATCATAAAGCACAGTATCACCCACCCAAAGAAAAGCAAAACACTGCTGTAGCCTCCAGATTCAGAATAATGCAGCAGGACTCTGACCTAGGGCCACCTGTAAGGACAGAGAGTTCCAAAATTCTCCTCCAGAAAACTCACTTTGTTCAGAACAGAGTGTGGGTGAGTGCAAGCCTGAGGCCACCCTCAAAAAGAATGGAAATTCAATGATAACCAATTAAGAAGAGGGTGGCAGTTCTACGACAGCAACAAGCTAAACCACAGACCAAATGAAAGTTTACTGGAGAGAGCAAGGAAAAGAGATGGCTAAGAAGAGACATCCAGGGCAATTAGATGTGTTCTTATCTACCAGAAACGCTCATACAAATACATACACAGATTTTCTACAGTAATGATTTTTAAATTTATATTTTCTAGGAGTTGACTTTCAGAATAGCAACATAAAAAGCAAACTCAAAGCCTCAAAGGCAACCCTCTAGAAGGAACCCAAATTTAACAAGAGCAATCTAAGAGCAACATATGGTCCAGGACAGTGTTGAAAACAATAGAGCAACACGTCAACAATCAGTAGTGGCTATCAGCAAAGTGTAACACCAACAGACGCAGACAGGCTAACACAGCAATCACAGAAAGAGACATTCAAAGACAGCACTGTTAACACCACTGCCATCCTAAAGGCAGTGTGCATTTCCAAGGCGGAGCCCTCTGACAAGCAACATCAGTGAGAATCCAATGGGAGTGAAAAAGCTTCTCTCAAATAGTACAGTCAAGTCACCTAAATAAGAAACAACAACAAGTCTAGAGAGAACAGAGGAACCAGTATCTACAGAAAGCACAAAGTATTCTCTAAAATGTCTACTCTTCAATTAAAAAATTACAAGACATACAAAGAAACAGGAGACTGTCACCTATATACAGGAAAAATGGCAGGCCACAGCAACTGCCCTTGGGAAGATCCAGATATCAGACTTAGCTGACCTCAAAGCAGGTATTATAAATATGTTCAGACCGGGCACGGTGGCTCACACCCATAATCCCAGTACTTTGGGAGGTCAAGGCAGATGGATCACCTGAGGTCAGGAGTTCAAGACCAACCTGGCCAGCATGGTGAAGCCCCATCTCTACTAAAAACACAAAAACTAGCTGAGCATGGTGGCAGGCACTTGTAATCCCAGCTACTCTGGAGGTTGAGGCAAGAGAATGTCTTGAACTTGGGAGGCGGAGGTTGCAGTGAACTGAGATCATGCCTCTGAACTCCAGCCTGGGTGACAGAGCGAGACCGTATCAAAATAAAAAATAAAAATAAATATGTTCATAAGGAAACACTACTTAGAAAAGGGAGGTATGATGACACCTCATCAAACAGAAAAATATCACTAGGAAGACAGAAAAGAATACAATGAAAATTCTGGATTCAAAAATTATAACTGCAATGGAAAACTCACTTGAATGACTCAACAAAAGATTGGGCTGGGCAGGGTGGCTCATGCCCGAAATCCCAGCACTTTGGGAGGCCGAGGGAGGCGAATCACCTAAGGTTAGGAGTTCAAGACCAGCATGACCAACATGGTGAAACCCCGTCTCTACTAAAAATACAAAAAAATTAGCTGAGCGTGGTAGTGCATGCGTCTGTAATCCCAGCTACTCTGGAGGCTGAGGCAAGAGAATCACTTGAACCCAGGAGGCAGAGGTTGCAGTGAGCCGAGATAGTGCCACTGCACTCCAGCCTGGGCAAAAAGAGAGAAACTCCATCTCAAAAAAAAAAAAAAAAAGAAAGAAAGAAAGAAAAGAAAGGTTGTAGCTGGCAAAATAATGAGTAGACCTGAAGATGGATCAATAGAGATTAAGTAATCTAAAGAACAGCGAGAAATAAGAGTGATGAAAAATGAAGAAACCCTCAAAAAAATGAGGAACACCATTAACTACACCAATATATTCATAACAGAAGTACCAGAACAAGTGGAGAAATATCAAGCAGCAGAAAAAATATTCAAACAAATGAATGGCTATGCTCACTTTGCAACACATATACTAAAACTGGGACAATACCAATAAGATTAGCACAGTAGCTACACAAGAATGACACGCAAGTTCGTGAAGCGTTCCATTTAAAAAAAAAAAAAAAGGCCAAAATCATGCAAATTTGTTGATGAAGAGAAAATCTTGAAAGCATCAAGAGAAATACAATTCCTCACATGCAAGGGAATGTCCTAAGATTAACATATGGCTTCTCATCAAGAGACAGTAGAGGCGAGGAGGAGGCAGGGTGACATATTCAGTGTACTGAAAAAAAAATTGTTTTTAATCACCTGTCACCTAAAATAGCAGAACTATTTGCAAAACAGAGGGTGAAAATTAAAAATCCTCAAATTAAAAAACAAATAGAAACCAAAAAAACTTGAGAATCCATTGCCAGTAGACTAACCATAAAAGAAAGAAAAGAAGTTCTTTAGGGTGAAAACAAGAGATTCCAAACACTAGTTCAAATCCACAATTATTGTGGGAAAAGGCAGTGATACGAGAGTAAAAAAGGCACATTTTCTCTCCTTTCTTTTCCTACCGAATTTAATATGCAAATATGTATAAGTCAATGTTTATAACTGTACTGTTGAACCTATAACATATAGAAACGCCATATATTTAACAAATAAGGCAGGCCAGGCACGGTGGCTCACGCAGTAATACCAACACTTTGGGAGGCTGAAGCAGGAGAATCACTTAAGCCTAGGAGTTCAAGATCAGCTTAGGCAACATACTGAGACCCCATCGCTAAAAAAAAATTTGTTTAAGCAGCTGGGCATAGTGGTGCACACCTATAGTCTCAGCTACTCAGGAGGCTGAGTTGGGAGTATTGTTTGAGTCCAGGAGGTTGAGGCTGCAATGAGCTGCAATCCTACCACTGCACTCCAGCCTCAATGACTCAGAGAGACCCTGTTTCAAAAACACAAATACACTGATAAACAAGTAAACAAATAATAAAACAAAAAAAAAAAAGAATAAAGCAAAAAAATAGAGTGGCTGGGTGTGGTGGCTCATGCCTGTAATCCCAGCACTTTGGGAGGCCAAGGCAGGCAGATCACCTGTGGTCTGCAGTTTGAGACCAGCCTGGCTAACACAGCAAAACCCTGTCTCTACTAAAAACACAAAAATTATCTGGGTGTGGTGGTGCATGCCTGTAATCCCAGCTACTCAGGAGACTGAGACAGGAGAATTGCTTGAACCTAGGAGGCTGGAGGTTACACTGAGCCCAGATAGTGCCACTGCACTCCAGCCTGGACAACAAAGTGAGACTCCATCTCAGGGGGCAAAAAAAAGACTGAGGAACAAATCTGTGCTGGAGTAAGGAAATTACACTAGATGGTAACTCTGAATCCACACGAACAAATAAATTGAAGCAGAAATGATGAATAAGAAGGTTAGTATAACAAACTCTATGAATAGATACTTCCTATCTTTCAGCTTCTTTAAAAGGCATCAACACATGAACACAGGGAAGAGAACAACACACAACTAGGGCCTGTTGAGGGGTTGGGGGCGAGGGGAGGAAACTTAGGATGGGTCAACCACCATGGCACACATATACCTATATAACAAATCTCCACGTTCTGCACATATATCACAGAACTTAAAAAAAAAAAAAAATAGACATCAAATGACATAGTAACAATTACAGATTGAGTATCCCTTATCTGAAATGCTTGTCATCAAAAGTGTTTCTGACTTTAGATTTTTTCTAAATTTTGGAAAGTTTACATTATACTTACTGGTTGAGCTTCCCAAATCCAGAAATCTAAAATCTGAATTACTCCAACAAGCATTTTCTTTGAGCATTTTGAGCATGTTGGCACTCAGTTTCAGATTTTGGAGCATTTGAGATTTTCGGATTTGGGATGCTCAGCCTGTATAACAATGTATTGTTGGGTTTTAAATATATATGTAATACATATAAAAATAACAAATGGAGAAGATGAAGTACAGCTATATACAAGTAATGTTTCTGTATTTTACTAGAGTTAAGGAGTACAAATCTGAAGTAGATTTTGATAAGGTAAGACTTATTAGGTAAGTTCTAGAGCAACCACTAGGTAAATAAATTTTCAAAGGGACATAGTAATTTTAAAAAAATGTTATACTAAAACATATTCATTTCATGTTGTGTACACATAACATAGAGAGTAGAATGAGAGACACTGGAGACTTGGAGGGGTAGGGAGGAGGGTGAAGGGTAAGAAATTACTTGATGGCTGCAATGTATACTATTCTGCTGATGGCCACACTAAAAGCCCAGACTTCACCTCTATGTGACATGTCTGGGTAACAAAACTGCACTTGTACCCTCAAAACCTATAAAAATAATAAAATAAAATACATTCATGTCATGTAAAAGAAAGCAGAAGTAAAAGGAATAGAGCACCAAAAAAGCAGGAGACCGAAATGGCAAACAAAAATGGCAGAGGTAAATCCAACTACAGATGCTCCTTGACTTACGATCAAGTTACATCCTGATAATAGTCAAATTAGTTGAAAATACTGTTTTTCCACTTAAAATCGGAATACATTCCAGTAAAGTCAGAAAAAATAGTTAAGTTGAACCTTTATAAATCCTGAACATACAAAGGGGTTTCAACCCAATAAACCCAATAAAAAAAAGTTAAATTTTTCAACTTGAAACGTTAAAAAAATCATAAGTCAAACCACTGTAAGTCAGCAACCATCTGTATAGCAATAATAACAGGAAAAAGGGAATGATTTGAAAATCCAATCAAAAAGCAACAATTCTCAGGTTGTTGAAAGTGTGAAAATCCAAACATCTGTTGTCTATAAGAGATAGATACAAACAGGTTGAAAATTTGAAAACAGAAAAAGACAGATCTGGCACATGACACCTTTAGGCTGGAGTAGCTATACTAATATCACACAAAATACACTTTAATACAAAAATTTTCCTAAGGATAAAGAGGGGAATTTTATTAATATAACAATAAAAGGGTCAATCAATAAAGAAGACATAACAATTCTAAGCATATGTACTACTAACAGAGCCTCAAAGTATGTCTAGCAAAAACTGACAGAATTAAAATAAAAAATATACAAGTCTACAATACTTACTGCAAACTGTAATATCCCATTTTTTTTTTTTTTTTTTTTTTTTTTTGAGACGGAGTCTCACGCTGTTGCCCAGGCTGGAGTGCAGTGGCGCGATCTCGGCTCACTGCAAGCTCCGCCCCAGTTCCCGCCATTCTCCTGCCTCAGCCTCCTGATAGCTGGACTACAGGCCCCCCACCGCGCCCGGCTAATTTTTTGTATTTTTAGTAGAGACGGGGTTTCACTGTGGTCTCGATCTCCTGACCTTGTGATCCGCCCGCCTCGGCCTCCCAAAGTGCTGGGATTACAGGTTTGAGCCTTAGGACAACTGGGCACAATGTAAACATGGAAACAGAAGATACAGATGACATTCTAAAGCAACCAGATCTAAGAGATATAGACAGAACATTCCACTCGAAAACAGTGGAATAGGTATTCTTCAAAAGTACACATGAAACATTCCCCAGAATAAATTTAAAACGATTCTCTGACCACAGTGGAAATTACAAATCAGTAAGACAAAGGAATTTTGAGAATGCACAAATTATATAACACATTCCAAAGTTTAAAAAAAAAAAAAAAAAAAGAGTCAAAGAAGAAAAAGAAGGGAAATCAGAAAAAATGCTTTGAGATAAAAATGAAGACATACTCAAACTTATGGAACACAGATAAAGCAATTCTTAGAGAGAGATCTGTAGTTGTAATAACCATATTAAAAAAGATCTCAAATCAATAAACTAATTTTCCACCTTAAAACACTTGGACAGGAGCAGCAATACAAACCCAAAGCTAGCAGAAGGCAGGAAAGCAGAAAGATTATAGAGTAAAAATTAATGAATTAGAGAACAGAAAAACAATAGCTGATTCCTGGAAAAGATCAACAAAATATACAAACCTCTAACTAGACTGACGTTGGAAAAAAAAGAGAGAATATTCAAATTACCAAATGTAGGGATTAAAGATGTATTACTACTACTCTTACAGAAATAAAAATAATTACAAAGAATATCATGAACAATGTATGCCAACAAATTATTTAACTTCAACAAAATGGAAAAATCCATAAAACAAAAACAACTAAAACCAACTCAACAAGAAAAAGAAAAATCTGAAAAGACCTATACAAGTAAAAAGATTGAAGTTGTAAATTTAAAACTCCCCATTACAGGTGGGATGCAGTGGCTCATGCCTGTAATCCTACCACTTTGGGAGGCCAAGGCAGGCAGATCACTTCAACTCAGGAGTTTGAGACCAGCCCAGACAACATGGTAAAACCCCATCTCTACAAAAAAAAAAATACAAAAAATTAGCCGGGTGTGGTGGCATATGCCTGTATTCCAGCTACTTGGGAGGCTGAGGTGGGAAAATTGCCTGAGCCTGGGAAGTTAGGCTGCAGTGAGCCATGACTGCACCACTGCACTCCAGCCTGGGCATACAGTGAGGCCCTGTCTGAAAAAAGACAAAACACAGACAAGAAAACTTACCATTATGGAAACAAAAACAAAACCCAGGTCCGTATGTGTTCACTGGAGAATTTTATCAAACATTTAAAAAGAATTATCAATGACTCAAAAACTCCAAAAGAATAAGAAACACTTGCCAGTTCATTCTATGATCCCAATACTACCCTGGTACCAAAATCAGACATGAAAAAAACTACAGATCCATGTGTCATGACCTACAAATCCTCAACAAAATACTAGCAAATTTCATCCAGTAGTATATAAAAAGGATTACATACAATGATCAAGTGGGATTTATCCTAGTAATGAAAGTTTATCATTTGAAAATCAATCAATACACCACGTTAAGTAGAAAAGAAATAACCACGTGATCATCTCAGTATATAGAGAAAAAGTATTTAACACAATCCAATGCCCATCGTCTCTATAAAAACAATCAGCAAACCAGGAAAAGTGTTAAACTTCCTCAGCCTGATTAAAGGCATCTACAAAAAGTCCACCACTAACATCACACTAAATAAAGAAAGGTACAATGATTTTACTCTAAGAACAAAAAGAAGACAAGA